TTAATCTGGCCTGTCTTGGAAAGACACACAACAGGTCTGTCACACTGCTTGCCTAGGGGAGGAACACCGGATGGCTGAGAGACTTTTTTTCCTCTGTATCTCTTTGGTCATTATATGCTTTTGTACCTTTTTAGTTAATACCGTGTGGTGGTAATCTCTAATAGTATATACATAGAATTTGCACTTAAAAGAGATTCGAAAAGGGGCTGGCAGGTGGTGGTGTGGTTAAGGTGCTGGACTCCCACATGGAGGACCACGGTTCAAGTCCCAGACTTGGTTTTCTCATTTTGCCTCTCTCTCTCTCTCATCAAATTGAAAAATGATAATGATGAATAAAATGAAATAAAATTATTAATAAAAAAAAAAAAGAGAGAGAGAGAGAGGGGGGGGTCCTAGGGATTGGTTCAAGGTGGGGGCAGGGGCAGGAGCTGAGCTTTCTCCTTCAGGTCCACCTTCCCTGACTGTGAGGGGTTGGCTGAAGGAGAGGAGGGCTGACGAAAGGCCAAGGCCTGCCCCGCAGGCTGGGCCTCACACAGCCCCCAGAGCTGGGGTGTCTCATCTCGGTCTTTCCACAACAGGCCTGTCTGCCAGGCCTGAGAGCCCGCGCCTGGAGGGGCAGGTGTGGTGGCACAGGCCGTACCCTCCGGCACAGGGCACTGTGTGCTCAGCTGTCTGTGAGCCTGGGCAGCCTGAGCTCACCAGCTCCGAAGCTGCAGCAGCTGTGAGAGCTGCCGGGAGGGTGGGCAAGGGCCATGGAGGTGGGTATACGGCCACCCAGGGAGGGTCAGGCACGGCTGGGGAGAAGGGCAGGTCCTGAGTAGAATGAAGCAGACTAGGAAGGGCCTCATTCAACCCTGGTGTCCATAGGCAGGCCAGCAATGGCCACTGCCACTGGTTTGGGACCAGAAGGGCTGGGGGGGGCCTGAAGCCGGCCAGCCCACCAGCAGCAGGTTCAATCCTGCTGGCCCCAGCCTAAGCCCACGTGACCCAGAAGCCTTTGTCTGGGTGAACAAGTCCAGTGCTCTAAGTGCCCTCCCAGCACGCGTGGCCCTCACATGCTTCTACCCGAAATCCACAAGCAGTCATCCAGCTCCTCCACCACCACCCACCCCCATTGCCCATGAGAAACACTCTCTCCTTTTCTGTCTCCACTGGGTCTCCAGTGGCAGGACTGAGGCAGCTTGAAGAGGTGGGAAGACCCATGTGAGTGACTCCTGGTCCTGCTGTGTCAGCTCCCTAGGCCTCGGCTGCTCCACCTAGGGCCTCCCCATGTCACAGCATTGTCACCGAGCTCCCCTGAAACAGCTTGTCAGATGAGGCTCCCATGTGCGGCGTGTCCTGTGCTGTCACTGGGCCTCCTAGTGAACAAGCAGGATGGAGGCCGCTCCTGAGCTGAGGACTCCTCAGGGTCCCCGGTAGGTGGTGAGGCCCCAGCATTCCCACTACGGACCTCTCCAAAAGTGAGGCGAGTGCGGGTGGAGGGAAGTCTGTTTTTGTTTTACTTTTGTTTTAAATTTTGCTATGGAGCATGTGCACTCACTGGACAGAGAGAGAAAACGAGAGAGTAGTAACTCCGGGAGGATGGCCAACCCCCGCAATCCCTTCTCTGTTCTCCCCTTGGGATTTGGGGCACACAGATTTTTTTGGGGGGGGGTTGTTTGTTTGTTTAGGTTTTGCTATGGGGCATGTGTGCTCACTAGAGAGAGACAGAGAAAGACAGTGAGAGGGAAAGAAAGAAATCACTCCCCAGAGGGGATGGACATGCCACAATCCCTTCTCCTCCAGTCTTCTCCTAAGATTTGGGGTATGCACACACACATGAGATTTTCAAGCCATTAGGTCTGGGACTCAAACCGGTGCCCACCATGTGTGAGTCCAGCGCCTTAACCACCATACCACCTGCTGGCCCCGCCTGATGTGTTTTTTAAGCCACCAGGTCCAGGACTCGAACCATACTGTGAACCATATGGGATCTGGATGCCTTAGCCACCATACCAGCAGCTGGCCCTGGTGAGTCTGCCCTTCTAAGAGAATGTAATTTCCAGAGACTTGCTGACCTCCCCTGGAAGAGGAAGTGGGTTGGTGTGAGCTGAGCCTGAGGGCTAGAGCCTGAGGGGTGCCCAGGCCCTCCATTTCTACCGGAGAGGGCCTCCTGCAGGTGGGGCTCAAGGTTCCAGCACTGATCCAGGCTGCCTGTGCAGGGGACCAGGGTTGGTTCCAGAATGCTCAGTGCCACTTCAGCCCCAGGCAGGGTCTGCCTCAGATCCGTAGGTGGCCCTGCTCTGCTTCCAGAAGGCATGGAGCTGGAAACCTGGGAGGGCTGAGGCAGAGGGGGTGTGAGTGGATGTGTTTGCAAAGGCGGGTAGGCTGCAAGAGGCTCCAAGTGCCAGGGACAGGCTGAGCTCACCCGCCCCTGGCCTTGCATCAGCTGCAGGGCTAGGGCTGGCTGCCAGGCCCTGGGAATTGGGCAGGAGGTTCCCAGGAGTCTCCTGGCCTTGCTTCTCGCTCTCAGGGACAGGGTGGAGAAGAGGAGCAGGAGCCTGGGGCTCTTCAGTGCCTCCATTCCCAGCTGCCCCAGCTCCCAGCTTCCCAGGCAGCAAGAGGCCTGCAAGATCGAGGCTTGGGCTGTCCAAGGTCTCTGCTAGAAGCCTCCCTGGGGTTGGTGGGCGTCACGGGTAGGTCTGGGAACTTTAAGGCCGGTTCCTCTCTGGCTCGTGGCCCTCCACCAAGTTGCAGGTGCTACAGACATGGGTATGGAGTGGGACAGCGAGTGAGGCTTCCAATATGGCCCCACCTTAGTACTGTTGCACCTCAGGGCTGAATGGGACGAGGTTCACAGGAGGGATGCCTGGTTCTTCTCTCCTATGGTCCCAGCCCAAGTGTTTGGGCTACTCCTGCCTGGCACCTCCTCTGTCCCTGGGTCCTCTTGGGGTGTAAAAGTGGATGTGTCTGGAAGATAGGAGTCTGTTTTAAGCACAAATGCAACGTCAAGTCCCCTGTTGTCCCTCTTCCTGGAGCTTCCCAGGAGGGATCTTGGGTTAGGACTAAGTTCAGTCCGGTGGGCACTCTGGCCAGCCTGGTGCTCTGGGCCCCTCAGGACTGCTGTCTGGGATGCCCTTAGAGCAGCGCTGAGGGCTGCAGGCAGAGGGAAGGTCACCAGAGAGGAGGCTGGAGCAGAGAGCAGGCTGGGGCCCTGGACACAGTACTGAGAAGGTGCCTGGGCCCTGGGCCCGGGATCAGTCCTAACTCTGGCCTCCCCTGGACTCCGTTTCCAGTTTCCAAGCCTCTCCTTCAATTCCTTTCTGCCTTCAGGCCGTGTCCTCAGCTGAGGCAGCGCTGGAGGGAAAAGGCCCCCTCCTCTGCGTTCACAGACTCCTCTGCCCTCCCCGGGGCCTTCATCTCCTCGTCTACAACATGGGGCAGGACAGGCGCCTTGGCTCAGCTCAGGTGGCCTAGAGCTCTGTGATTCTTTGGCCAGGACTTCTCTGTCTCAGTGCTCTCTCCCCACCGAGGCCCACACTCGGCGTCTGGCTTGGTGCCTTTGCTCCTCCTCTGTGACCTTCTGTCCTCACTCCTCCTCCACATAGAGGCAGGGCCAACCCACTGGTTATCGCGGGACAAACATCGGGCTATCTAAAATCACATTTGCCTTTTAGAAGCTGAATCTCCGCGTATCATTTAATCCAGTGCATTGTGGAGGGGTACTTCTCCCCAAAAGGCACACGGTGGGGAGGGGAGCAGAGCAGGGAGTGGCTGGTGGGGCGGACAGTAGGTGCCAGGCAGCCCAGCTGTGAGAGAGGCACAATCCAGGCCCCAGGCTGGGAATACTGGACTTGGAAAGGCTGTTGGAGTCCAGATCACCGTGCTCCTTCCTCACCCCATTTTAAAAACGAGGAAACGGAGGCCCACCAACATCAGTGATCTAAATGTAAATACCAAAAAAATAAATAAAAAATAAAAAGAGGAAGAATTTTTTAGTTTAAAGGAAGGCCCTTTAAATGAAATGACTTTGGGGGCCAGCCAGGGTCATGGAGGTTAAGGTGGCTGCATTCCACACAGTCAACTGTACAGTTTGAGTCCTGGGCCCAGTGACTTGAAAAATAATGCCAGGCACGTGTACGTAAGTGTCCAAAATCCCAAAAGGAGGGAGAGATGGAGGAGAGATTCGGGGATGGCCATCACTCCCCATCACTTCTCTGTCTCTCTTGACAACCTCTGATAAAAAATTTTTTAAAAATGTGGGCCAGGGAACCAGCAGTTAGCGTAATGGCTATGTCGCTGGACTCCCACGTAGTCGACCGCGGTTCGTGTCCCGGACCCGGTGGCTTAAAACTCACACCGGGCGCGTGTGCGTGCGTGCCCAAGATCCCGAGAGGAGAATGGAGGAGAAGGGATTGCTGTGTGACTATCCCCCCGGGGGGGTGATTTCTCGCTTTCTGTCTCTATGTCTCTCTCTGTCTGTCTGGCGAGCGCACGCGCCCTACAGTGAAAATCTCTC